CCCAAATGTGTTGTGCCTTTGTGTGGCACCTACCCCAGGAATGCCAGGCCATTTCAAAGCTGACAGGAACAGCAGTGTCAGTGCAGGTAGCACTACTCCTGCACTGTCAAAAACCAGTCAAAACTCAGCCTGGTCAGAAGTGCCAAACACTCTTTGATTTTCTCTGCTGTGTTTTCTACTACTCTCCAGGAAATCATTTGCAGAGAAAAACCACTTATTTAGCACATTCAGCTACAGAAAATACCAGCTAATTAACATAGTTAAAATTCTCAAACCCTGAAGCAATCTTTCAAATGAAATAGTATTCAAAACTTGACGAGCTGCTCTGCGGGCTCATACTTAATTTTAACTACCACTGTAGCACATTAATTGCTTGCTCACAAATTTAGAAAAGGAGATGTATAAATACATCGTAACTGTTTTGCTGAAACTAGAGGTCAACACACAGATGTACACAGGCAAAATGAGCTACTGTAATGACATTTTTACTAGGTGATGGTTTACTTCTCTGAAAACAAGTGTCAGTGTGCTCAGAATACAAATGGACAGACAGAAAAACTTTGACAGGGATGACTGTGACTATTTTCCTACTCTCTTCTCTAAACGGTAGGAATAAATAATGAAAACCAATATTAAAATAGCCAGTCTTTCTGTCTTCCTATATGAGTAGACTCTCAAAAAAAAAAAAACCTCAAAAAATGAAGAATGAAAGAAATCAGACCCTTGAAGCAAAAGCTCAGACAATCTTAGCCCATTCTAAATAAAAGAGCAGCTACTTAATGACTTACCTATCCAAACTCCCAACTCTGGCAACTAGATATAGGAGACTTCCAATAGCAAGGCTGCCTAGCACAAAGAGCTTCTGTCTCAGCAACGCCTGCTGTTTGAATAGCATGGCCCTCCATCAATCTTCAGGACTTCTTCAGTCTGCAGAGACAAGAACACATAAAACCCTCATCAGAAAGCAATATGCAGGGTGATGTTTAGTCAGGTATTGCAGCTGATTAAGCCACACTTGCAAAATCTTTGCAAAACTGCAAAATAAGTAGTTATTTGTTATATATAACAGTTTGCTACTGTTTTTCAGTCCCACATGGCAACATATTTGGGGTATGATGATAACCCTGGAAGTGACAGTTCAACTGCATCCACCATTACTAGGGCTGTGGGATAGCCACAATGTTGGTCTTGAGTGTAGAAGCTCACTTTGTAATAGGATATCTTGCTAGGTAAATATGTTTAGATTTTAAGCCTTTCAGAATCTGATAGATTTCAACAGAGATTTAAATGCCCTGATGTCAAGTAAGGCTGCAATAACCTTAGGAGTTAGGATTGCAGGTCCTCTGTACAGTTTATGGAGGCATGTTTACTCTGTCTCTATGATTTTTAGAGTGTTGAGAGAAAAATCTAAAAAAGATGTCCTGATCCATGCCAGTAAGTCATTTATGACAGACCTGTGAAGCAGGTAGCTGGGGTGAGCACAATAATGATTTTTCAGCATCAGTGTATTCTATCAGCTGTGTCTGTGCTGGGCATCAGACAGGTCTGTGTTGAGACACTTAAGCTTCTCACTTGTATGACACCAGTCTTGACTGTCACCTCAACACCTGATGGGACACAAACTGTAACCCTTGAAACATGCCTACATCCTCAGTTTTTAGAAATACCAAAAAATATATTTAAATTTCTTTTTCTGATGTGTTCCAGAGACCATCTAATTCCCATAGTTGAGCATTGCTTCAAATACTATAGTTATGAGGCAGTCAAGAGTAAAAAGACATCACATTATGCCATGAGTTAACCAGGAGGTTCCTAGGCAAGGTAGAAAGAAGTGCTGAGTAAAGCTGTTTGTCTCTAGTTTTACTCTCCCTCAAGCACTACATTTGTGTTCTGGGCTGCAGACCTCTTTAGGACAGTCAGACCTGGATTCCTACTACATTATTACATGAACTGAGGAGAAAGATCAGCTCCTCCTTTCAGAGCACAGTCAAAGATGACATGGTTCTTCATTTTATACCAGTTCTGAGCTTTCTTATAGATACACAGGAGAATTAAGTTCCAATCCTTTTTCTGGCTCAGGAGGGGTAAAGCCATACCGTCTACCTACCTACCTAAAAGAATAATTTCATCACCAAATGGATCTTTTTGATACAAAAATCATAAATATAAACTGTAATCACCTGAAATATTAATCTAAAGTCTCACTCCCTCTATCAGGGAATGTTTACTGTATTATGGAGTAATTTGAACAGAAACATTTTTTTCCAAATTTTGGCTAGACTTATTTTGAGCAATTTTTGATGTCAGGTTTCTTAAGTTTTACTACAGCAATGCTTATTTTGCAGCACATTTTCTTCTTTTCCAGTTTCAGGATTTATATAAAGCAAGACTGGGATAGATTACTGTAAGCATGAAACTATATACAGAGGCAGAACTGCTGGTCAGAGTGCAAGGTTTGACTGACCACTGCTAAACACAGCCTGAAAACATTTCTTTGTCCTGCCCATGATGTTAAATTTTTGGCCCAGAAAGCTCTGTTAAGAATCCAGGATTCAGTCAGGGAGATAATACAAGCTGGAAACTATTCCCAGCAGGCAGCAGTCATGTAGCCTGCCTGCCCCAGTGCTGGCTGGGTTTAAAGGTGCAGAGGCAGGTCATTCTAAACTGGTTTTCTTCAAGTGTGGTTGAATAGCCATTCTGAAGCACATTTATTTTACAGCTATAAAGAAAGCTTTCTAATTTCAGCCCACCATCTCTTGATAAAAGAGCCATGCAACGCTGAAGGTCTGAGTCTGACTTGGTCTCTAAAATACTTCCGGTACAATAATAATTGTAATAATAACTCCTTATACAGCTAGGTCACAGCTCAGGATAACCTATCATACAGGATAACTAATCATACAGAATATATTGCTTTTTATGTAGATAAAAGCAACTCTATAATAAGAATTCTTAGATAAGGTCTTTATTGCAATAAGAATAATATAAAACATAGAGTAAAAGGAGTTTGCAATGTAAATATAGAGATAGAAGAAGTATTATCATCCTTTAAAAAATAAATGAGGAGTAGAGGTACAGAGAGATTAAGTGATTTGCTCAAGGTCACAGAGAAAACCTGTAGCACCAGCAAGATTCAGTCTGAAATAATTCCTTTCTAGTGCTTTAACTGCATGGTAAACTTTTGCCTTTTTGTAATATAAATTTTTTTCCCATAAAAATCATGTATGAATGAGGAATCCTATACTTTGAACAAAGCAGAAAATACGTAGCCAAAGCTGAACTATTAAGAAAAATGCACAGAGGTTACATCTCTGTGTTGATATTTTACTGCTAATCACGTTTTGAACTGTTTAATTAAAAAAGATGAAAGAGAAGGATGTGAAGAAGAGGATGAATTTTCATAGGTACCAGGTTTTAAATCTTTCAGTACTGTTCCCACTAAATGAAAGTTTCACTTGAGTGCTACAACAATTGGTTCTGAACTTTGTCTATCAGAAAACATATACATATGCAGCCCTCTTTTCATTAAACTAAAGTGCTTTCCATGTGTTCTCCTTTATACAGGCTCTTGGACTCCAATTTCTGCCTGCAAGCACTCGTGAGGCTATGGAGGTCATCAGGCCACAACGAAATCAAACTAATGACAAGCTGTTTCCTGAAACAGATTCCACAAGGCGTCATGATCTCAATATTAATATTTGAAGTAAGAGTCAATACAAAAATACCAAAAGCCAACCAACCAACCAAACCACAAAACAAACACAAAGCAAATCAAGCAAATCAAGCAACCAAACACAAACCAGTTCCATTTTTATGTTTGCATGTACCTATGTACAGAAAACTTTTCCACAGAATGACAAATATTAAGCACACATTAGAAATGTAAAGATAACATTATTTATTTATTTGTTTCATTTTTATTTTCACTTTTAGCATCTGATTTAAAAAACATGGAAATAACTTTATTCCAGAGACGTGGTCTCAGTAAAACTTTCCCTAGATGTTATTTTTATCCTGCGAAAAAACATAGCAAAATACTATCTTGATTCCAGAAAAGGCTACACCTTGCAATGGATGCAATGGACAGTTCTCTGTGCCAGAGGAGAGGACTGTAAAAACATTTCTATTTGAGATACAGAGTTAAAACAACCAGAATGTGATTAAGGCAAAGGTCCCTAAGGTGGAAGTATTACTGAAGACAAACATGGCAACACTTAAATGAAATGGAAAGAAGAAATGAAAAGAAATTTAAATTCTGGGATGTATTATCAGGTGCACAAAGTTTTCTGTAAGGAATGCATACTTTTAAACTTTACAAGAAGCTGGAAGGCAAGATAAAATGTAATCCAAAGTGACAGGATTTTTTAGCAATTATTTGAGGCAAATAAGGGTGTTTTAAAACAATTTTGCTCTCTTTTAGGGGCAAGAGCTGAACTGTCACAAAATCTGCTGACCAGTGGGAGGAGGATTGGGTGAAAGCTGCAGGCAGAACTTTCCCAGTAGCTGAATGCTGAATGTGGAACCTCCCACCCAAAGAGATGACAGCACACTGTTGCACAGCTCCAGTGGTCTTACATTAGAAATATCTGTCTTGGATAATTTAGTTAAATATGCATACAAGAAAGTTCATTCCTGGCTGAGAGAATCATAATGCACAAAGAGCAACACAAATTACTGAATGCAGAATTTCTAGTAAAGTGTGCAACATCACATATATTTAAAAATGTGATTTGTAAATAATGTGTAAATTAAAAGCAAAATGTGCTTTGTGATTTCAGATGTACATCTGATCTGAATTGTTACACTGACATGGTCCAGTTCAATAAAGAAACATGAGAAAGTAGCCTTACCACTGTGTTGATGTGAATGCCTCATTTAACCCCTTCCTCTACATTCCCATTTTGCTGGTGAAAAGACTAGGATTATTGAGTGAATTGCCAAGAGAAGACAGTACACGTTCCAGTATGTGGAACTCTGCTGACAATACCAACTGAAAAATAGATTGACTATTCCTGACAAGACGAAGGGATCATGGATAAAGGTAGATAGTGGGTATGCCAGACAAAAAAATGTAAATTTTTTGTGAACTATTGTTCACAATATTGAAAGTTTTTGGTTCAAGTCAGGTCAAAGTCAAATGAGTAGGAGAAAACAGGTAAAGAAGCATACTAATAATGATGGCATTAATGATAAATATCTGAATTGTGCAGAAGCACAGAAAAGAGACTCTGATGCTATAATCACTTATTCCAAATAAACAGACAATGAAACAAGAAGATCACCAGGAACTTGTTTGCAAATGATCAAAGGGAAATTTTTGGACGCATAGAGCAGAGATGAGAAGATGCTATAGATAAATGAATAGCGTGTGGTTGATTATGGATGGAAGTATAAGAAACAACAACATCCTTTCTTTTGGGAAATGGGCTGAAGAGATACAGTCCTGATAGAGTTATGTGATTAGTCAAAATTAAGTACAAATCAGAGGCAAATATGTACAAAGGAGGCTGGAAAAATAATAAATAAGAGGTGGTTTTTATTAGAATTTATTGTTTGGTTTGTCTCTTTTTTTATATTTTTCACACCAGCAGGGGTCATCTGTTGACCAACAAATATTTATTATACACTGCAGAAAGATCTTTGAGTTTATACAGGACTTAAATACAGAGATAGGAAACAAGTTAGGGAACTTATCACTGGGCATATTTGCATTATGTCTCTTGAATGTTAACTACAGTTTCTTGCATTTTTTTACTGCCACTAAACATAAAAATCAAGCACCTAGACTTTTTCTGGGGTATGAAATCACATGGTGTTTGGGAAAGGAGGGAATTTATGCCTCAAATTGTGTGCATTCTCATCAGCTCATGATCGTAGTCATAGCCTGCCTGGAATAGCCAGTCATATTATTGCTCCTGCTTCTCCTC